TTGACCTTTTATTTTTATATATAAATGATCTTAACAACTATATGTATGATCAGATTATCCTAAATGTATTGTGTTAATATATAACACAGTTCTGATAATCTTCGTCTTCTTATTACACAATTACATCATAGGAAAACTATATAAATGTTTCTTTCATTCAAATAATTAGTTACAGTTGTGATCTATACAGATTTTTCTACACGTGTGTTATTTAATGAACATAGAAACAGGCTTTGTGACAGTATCAAAATTGGAACAAAATTCATTCTTGATTATTTATTTCGAAAGGTATTACCTTAATAAAACAGCAAAGTATAATTATTGTCAGAAGGGATTTTGTAGAGATTGTAGTAATTTCAATAGTTAAGATCATGAATCAACTGAAGCTAAACCACCCCTTCTACTACTAATCAACATACACGCATTAGTGACTGTCTTCAAGATGTATATCCTGGAGTTCTAGTGAGAAGCAGTGACCAGTAGAGTTCAACCGGGCGAGTTGTGAGATGGTAACTCACTGATGAAAATGGTGGATGTGTCGCTCAATTTCGTGGATTATTTGAAGTTAGACATTAACATCACTGGATGCCGACCAGTTTAATGGTCTAGTGGTTAAGTGCTTGCGCGCGAGACTGATAGGTCCTGTGTTCGAATCTCACGAGGCGTGATCATGGATGCGCACTACTGAGGAGTCGCACAATAGGACGAAAAGGCCGTCCAGTACTTCCAGGTTTTCTATGATCGTCCAGCTTCAATTGACTTATGATCTCAACTATTGATATATAGTTATTCTATCTTATAAACTATCCAGTTTTTAATATTATAGAAACATACATTGTTTCATTAGAAGTATACCCGTTATATGAATGATACATTCATATATTTAATATAACTACGCAACATTGTAAACGGTAACTAAAATGTTATTCATTTTTACTAATATTCATACTAAAGTTAAGCTATAGACATGAATATATGATTCATTAAACTATGATAGCTTCCCACATGTCTCTTACATCCAATCAATGAAAACATTGAATGAATTCTTAATCGTTATTCCATATTTTGTACAAACGGTAAATTCTACGTTGTTTTTTTTAAATGATGATATCATTTCTTTATTCTAAAAACATGATCTATTTAAACAAACCATTCATCATTTTCTTCTATGCACTCACTATTACAGACTCTTAATAAAATGATCCAAGAATTACACGATCAACTGACAATTAAATTTAGGCAAATAATTCTATTCGAGAGTAAAAATTATATGTTTCACAGTTGATTTTTAAATAATTAAAATAACATAAATTGTTGAAGATCCTAAAAAATCTTCAGGTCTTAATGACAATAAACATTAAAAACGATAATTGGGAAACTTCTAATTTTTGGAAATTACATCAACTAGTACCACTATGGAAAACCTGGAAGTACTAGACGGCCGTTTCGTTCTACTATGGGACTCATCAGCTGCAAGCATCCACGGCCACGCCTCGTGAGATTTGAACTCAGGACCTTTCAGATTCAGGCGCAAACGCTTGAACCATAGACCACTGAACCGGCCGGTATCCAATGATGTTCATGTTTAACTTCAATTAATCTTCGAAACTGATCGACACATCCACTATTGTCATCAGTGAGTTACTATCTCACAACAGACCTGATTGAACTCAATTGGTCACTGTATAATAATAGTAATTTTCATCAAACAACTAATGCTCTGCTCTATATTCTGCTCACTAGACTAGAACTATTTTTACTGTTTCCTATATTTCATTAACATTAGGAAATATCCTTAGTGTCAACAAATGAAAAAATAAAGTACACTAAATTTACTCGAATGCATTGTGTTTGTCCGGAAATCATTCACCTTGCTTTTCTTTCTTTATTTTAATTATTTAAATGATTAAATTCATTTTTTTTGTTTACCTAATGTTGTACTTTCTTTTCTGTGTAAACAACATTAACTCGTTAGACAAATATTGTAACCAAACGTTTTTCATCAATTTGACATTAATTATTATCAAGATTATTCATTCAGTTATCATCTAAGTATGATTTTTACATTAAACAACTTACGTAATTAGAAATTAGTTACTATACCACAAAAGCTTTGGTCATTCTCTTTTACATTATTGTATTCTTAACTTGTTACTATCCTTTTAAATCTGTACGATTATGTTACATAGATCGTTGTGCAACACATATTCAACAGAAGAAAAACAAAATAACCAATGTTAATTCAAATTTATTTAATACTTACTAATTTATTATAAGACAGAATTGTTTATAAAATAGTCCTTAGCCATGATCTCTATTACAGATTGAAGAATATTTGAATTCAACTAATCAAAGAAATAGTTATCAATACCGAGATTGGACTTGATAGTTTCAAACAAATTGATCATCGGGTAGACAATTAGTAATAAATAAATTTTTTGTTATACCTAAATGAGTAGAAAAATTATATTTCTGACGTTTCGTAACTTAATGTAAACCACTTCTTCAGAATAAATAAACAATCGACATTAAATCAACATAAGTTTAAATAGCACTATTTATTAATAATCAATCAAGTTTATTTATTTCATTTCTCATTGTAACGTTTTCCATCCGAAAACAGAAATAACATTTCACAGTAAACCGATCAGTACTTAAACAAACAATAACAAATCATGAACAAAAATTTCTAACTTTATTCTGCAATTTCACTTGATATTGTTTGCTTGAATCATTCCATAGATATTTAGGATTATAATTCATCAGTCTTTTATTGACATATGTGCATACTGTGTGTATTACCTTGATATTGCCTTGATTCACAAGTATTATAGGCAAATGTAGATAGCGTCTTGCTATGGAATCTAGGATGCACATTTCTTCCTATTTGAGACTTGGTTGTTATTACTTATAATCAATAAAGCAGAAATTAAAAACATTAAGTATTTTCAAAATGAAAATCCTGAAACTAAAATTTTTTGTTAGCTTAATATACCCTATTACTCAATCAAATAATTTAAAAAAAATTGTCTCTTATTCTTAGAGCCCCTCGCAACCTACTGTTATCCAACTATAATTGAGATAAACAGGATCCTTTAATTTATGTATTTATGGAATGGATTCTTTTATATTATTATTAGTTATATGTTAAAATTGAATTATACCAGTCACTACTAAACCATATTTAATTAGAAAAAAAACAAAACCTGTCTAGTATTTTTTAAGAAAATCTATTTATTATTATTTTGAAAAAATAATCTTTTTTAATAGTTGGATTCATGAATCAGTTGAAGCTAGACCTGGAAGCATTGGGCGGCTGTTTCGTTTTACTACGGAATTCCTCAGCAGTGATCATCCACGACCCTGTTTGCGAGATTAGAACACAGAACCTGTCAATCTCGCACACGCGAATGCTTAATCCCAAGACCACTGAGTTGACATCGAATGGTATTTATGTCTAACTTCAAATAATCCACGAAATTGCACCACCGTTCACCATTGTCATCAGTGAGTTACTATCTCACAATAGACCTTGTTGAACTTCGCTGGTCAAAGCTTCTCATTAGAACACCATGGAAACCGTTTCTAGTGAGAATATGATAATTATAGTCATATGGAGTTTTTAAGATACTATAAACATTCAATAGTTGAATTGATGAGTTAATTGGATACACACTGTTGAGGAGTCTCATACTAGGACGAAATGTTTTTCCATGGTGATCTAGCTTCAATTAACTCATGAATTCAACTCTTAAATTACTACCATATCCATACAACCTTTGATAGAATCAAAATAGTTTCCATGACTTTAGAAGACTCCGGATGAAGTCAGTCATTATGAATGTTTTTATTTAGAGAAAACTTAGCAATAGAAAGAAATTATATCAAAGGATCCATATCAAGTAAAACACATAGAAATCCTTGGAAATTATTCAAATTAAAAGATTTATGCCTATCTGGACGTCTGTTACTTGATTCCTCTGTCGCATATAAACATTTGTTGTTGACCTGTGATTAACCGTCAAAATAAAGATGTCAATTATTAAGAAATTCTTTGTATGTAAGTGCCTACTATCTCCCAGTTAGCATTTCATATCGATAAAGCTTTTTTTTAATTATTTTTGCAATTAGTTGTGACAACCCAACTTATGCGTACTCAAAGAATTCCCCCTCAAAAATTTTCGAAGTCTTAGTGTACTGTTAATCATTTTCGGACAGCTGAATGTAAAAGCTTAACAGATGACCAACAAATCAACCAACTGAGAAGAGTATTGTTAAACGATCCTATACCAGTTACAGTTAGGGTTTTTTAACATGAGTGTTTTGTCATTTTTTTTAGAAATTCATAAACCCATGAATGGCTTTAAATGAATGTAATTCGTAGGTTGTGCGAATTTTATCCATTTTTTGGATCAGATTGAAAGATTCACACACCAACAAATCCAAAAAACCTTTTCTGATACTAATCAATATATGCTCATTAGTGACTAACTTCATGAAGTATTTCCTGGAGTTCTAGTGAGAAGCAGTGACCAGTGGAGTCCAATCAGGTCTGTTATGAGATAGTAACTCACTGAAAACAATGGTTGATGAGTCGCTCAATTTCGTGGATTGGTTGAAGTTAAACATTAACATCATTGGGTGCCAGCCAGTTTAGTGGTCTATATTTTAAGAGCTTGCTCGTGAGTCTGATAGATCCTGTGTTCGAACCCCTAGGGTTCGAATCGTGGATGCCCGCAGCTGATGAGTTCCATAGTAGAATGAAACGGTCGTCTAGTGCTTCCAGGTTTTCGATGGTGGTTCAGCTTCAATTGACTCATGATCTCAATTATCTAAAAGTGTAATAATCAACTTTTTTCATTCGTTAAAATGGATAATTGTAATCCATGTCGCTTATGATTTATTGAGTAAAATTCATCAAATATGTATAAAGTTGTTTTGATCAAAAAAATGTATTACAATATCACTTGTATTTTGTTTGTTTTTTTGTTTCCTTACAGGTGCATTTCTAATTCCTTATTTAGTTATGTACATTTTTGGTGGACTACCTTTATTTTATCTTGAATTGGCATTAGGACAATATCAACGTAGTGGTTGTTTAACTGTATGGAAAAGAATATGCCCTTTGTTTAGCGGTATGTTAAATTTGTTGTTTTGAGATTAATGATTAATTCAATTTACTAAAACATCACAAAATTAACGTAAGGAATGAAATCATTTTACGTCAGTTACTATAAATAAGATTAATATTCTGTTATAATTAAACTAAATATATAACATAAATAACATTGAAAATGTTTGAATATAACTATTATGAACTGATAAAGTCAATCACTAGTTTTACTACAAACTGATCTAACTAGTTGAAATCATGAGTCAATCGGAGCTAAACCACCATCGAAAACCTGGAAGCAGTGGACGGCCGTTTCGTCCTAATATGGGACTCCTCAGCAGTGCGCATCCACGGTCACGCCTCCCAGCGAGATTCAAACACAGGACCTATCAGTCTCGCGTCAGGCGCTTAACCCACTAGACCACTGAGCCGGCATCCAACGGTATTAATATCTAACTTCAACCAATCCAAACCGATTTAAGCCAAAAATAACAAGTCCATTTTGATCATCCAGTGTCAATGATAGACTTGTCAAATTGTTCTTCAACGGTATTATACTTCTCATTTTTATGCATATGTATAAACATGTATATGGAAACAATTAATGAATTCACATAGACGTTACTATTTCATTTTATGTCTGAACTACTAAAACTTCAAACTTTCGAAAATGATCAACAATTTATTACCAAGAATAATATGACATCATAATCTTATGCTATGTATTAACTATAATAGCTCAATGACTTGAGGAATGAAACATTGGAAGTGTTTAAAGCAAAAAAAACTATATGGGGTCAACTAAGATAAGTTTTACCTATGAAACTGAGTGTAATTTCATAAGACAGTTAACATTTTCAGGAATATTATTTGATAAACTTGTAAAAGAAAATACTAGACAGTAACACCGTTGGATTCCGGCTAAAAACAAAGGCTCTAGGTTCGAATCTCGCTAGCAGGACCGTAGATGCACATGGCTGAGGAGTTCCACAACAGGCCGGAACTGTATTTTTATATTTCCAGATTTTCGATGTTGGTCTAACATCAATCGGTTTGTGATCTCCACAACCCTATACTGATACTTTTTGATTGTTGATTGTTTGATGTGTAAATTCAAACAGTGATAAATTGTAACTAGTCTATTTTATCAAAAACTAAATCATTTTGAAAATATCCATTTCTCAATAGTCTTAATAGCTATTTTTAAAAAAGAAATAACAGTCAAATCACACAGCTTATTCCCATAACAGTAATAAACATTGTTTTTACGTAGAAATGGATTATATACGATTGTTTAAGTAAAATTCAAGTCTAACAGTTCTAACTTTATCAGACTGAATAGGAAATTAGGTATTACATGAATAATAAATATAAGTAAGTTAAAACAATCGGTTGAATCATATCCTAGTCCAAAAATTAGTTGATTACAACTATCAATCCAATGTTACTGCTTAAAGTATAATATTTTCCCTGAAACAAAACATTAACCTCCAGTACTTCAATTCACAATGTATTCCATTTAACAAAAAGAACTGATTTCAATCTTTATTTCTTGTATAATATTTGACATTAGGTTGTTGGCTTTCCATCGATCATTCGTATATTGTTTTAATTATTTGATATGATTTTATCAATATTTAGCTTCGAAATTCAAATCAAATAAGTTGTTGCGTAATTTGAAGTCAATAAATTATTAAATAAATTATTAAAAATTCAAATCTCTCATTTGAAAACATTGATTACCATGGTTTATCTGTAACCTAAATGATTGATTTTCTTTACCAAATTGTCCAAATTACTAATTAGATACTAATCTAATAGTGAATTCTTACACTATGATGTTCCACTGGTAGTTTGATTATCAGTAATCGATTTTCATCGATGAGTTAATTAAGTAACATGATGTCATAGTAAAGTATTATTGATATTAGATAGTTCTAGGTACCATTATATACCATAAGTATATTCTCTATTTGAATAATATGGTAGACATGAAATATCTGTATATTTACTCAAAGTTCAGTTAGTTTAAATGATTGTTGTTAGTTAGTTAACAAACTAAACAAGGTTTATTTTCAAAAGAACATTTTGTACATAAATAGGTCATGGTGACAATAGGTAACCCTTGTGAACTCTTATGGTAATTTGTAAATTTATTGAATGAGCAAAATTTCTTATATAGTTTAACTGTTAAAACCATTTTATTTAACGTAATGACTGGTTGAAATCTGATTAACCAAACAAAACATGTTTGTAAGGAATCTCTACAAATTTTCATGATAACAACATAACATAATAAAGCACATTCTTAAGACTCTTGTCGAAGAACAGTCTGAAAGAAAGGATTAGTTGAACTTGAAAATGTTATATATGTAGAAAAGATCAATTTCATGTATGCTTAAAAAGTACTATTATCAGACTGTTGGAGCATAAATGATTAAAAAAATAAAAAATGAGTACAACCATCTGTAAGTAATATATGCCGAGTAAGTGATTTAAATGCTATAAATTTCTTCTGCTATACGTAGAAGAAGAGAGAAAACCCAGTTGTGAAACAATGAAAGTTCTGTAGATTAATGTTAATTATTTAATTTCATCTATCACATGATCCCTGTCGACTGAATATGACAAAATGAATCATTATTCGACCCCTTTCAAAGCACTCAAAAAGGTGTTCACATAATCATTGACTACATGAGCTGATAATTAATTCTTCATCATAGAAACAACGAAATCAGGTAATTTACTCTTCGGTTGAACAGAAACGTCTGATCGATTGAAAAAATGACAAAGTGAAGTTTGCTGTTTAAAAATTTCTTGAAACAGCTCTAATCAGTCTATCATTTGGGAGATAGCTAGCTTCATTTTCACTCCTAGTACTTTAAAAAAAGAGCACTTCACTAAACAAGGATTTGTTGGTAGTGATTTGAATAGACAACCATCTTGACTTTAGTCCAAAAACAATACGGTTAGTAAAAAGGTAATATGAAATGTAACAGGATCATTCAACATTTTAACTACAAATAATTACTCCGAATTCATATATATCTGTTATTCATCGCTTAATATAATATGTTTTGTAGACAATACTTGTAAGTATATGGTTGGTCAGATACAAAAGTCACGATTTGAAACATATGTGGCTGTTTAAATCTGATTATAGTATGATGGATATGAACTAGTGTAGTGGTTTCGCTAAAATAATTATCAAGAAAACTACAAATTGATCACTGATGATTATTATTGTTGCATAATACTAAGTGGATCATGGATATATTAAAGCAACTACCTTACAACCAATTTCGATTATGGTTAATTTTGGTTAAGCGCTTTTAATAACTTACTTAACAGACAATGTTATTAGAACAACAACAATTCGCATATTTATTTGTACTATTATGATCACTAGATCATATGAAAGACTCGAGCTAAAATGTTGATTGCTTCAATATCACTCGATGATTCATCCACCTCCTCATTTATATATGTACTCAAATCTTATTATTAGTTCTTGCTTTGTGTTGCTGCACCATTATGCAATTCGACTATAAATTTACCTATGCATTGTTCGCATAAACATATTCGCCTTCAAAATTCTCTTCGAATTCGCTTGATATGCTTATAGCTTTGTGATCTGGACTATCCGCTAATAAAATTTCATTGTCACTCCATAATGGATTTTGAGGTTTATATAATAACGGTTACGAGAGTGATGGATTAACGAAGTAAAGCCACTACAATGTTACAATATATATCAATAGACAATTTATTTCCATGTTAACCGTATTTAATATTTCATGCTTACAAACATCAAAGATCATTTATTTAACATCACTGCTAATAATGATATGTCACATAGACTTTCCTTTCTTGAATTATTATATTTCAAAATAGTATACATCTGTATAAGATTCTATGTTCTACATAGGTAATTATGCATAGTGATAAACTATTTTCAATCATATTGATCAATATAAGATTAGATTATCATATATATGTAAATTATTCATTGTTTTGTTTTAATTGTGTATGTTACATTGAACGTCAGCATTACAACTTAATCTGTCATTTTATATTACATCCTACTGTTTGACTCGTATTGCCACCTTCTGATTTCAAACACTGTTAAGATTAATATTATAACAGTTATCAAGTTGATCGATTAGGTGAAACAAAGCCATTACAAACTGTCTTGAAGTTATAAATCTAATTTTATTTTTAAAAAAAGTCAAGGCAACAAATAATCGACGTTTATATATATATATATATTGTTACCGATAATATATTCATTATAAACCGTCTTTTTTAGGGGGGGGAGGATCTAAGATACACATTTGTTTCATATAAGTCTACATAAGGAAATCAAAACTTCATTTATTATGTATGTTTTTATTTAAAATTATTATTATTATTATTTCATCTCAGTAATAAAAATGTTATTTAAATATCCATGTAATACATAACAATCATAACATGTAATAATGAAACCTATCGGATTACAAACATTTCTGTCATTTATTGAGTTTAATTTATTCAAAATATTTCAGACTGATTAAAATGAAAAGAAAAAAAAACTAATAACAGATTTTAACCTGGATACATAATAAATGATAAATAGAAAAAAATGGAGTTTATTTAAAGGATAGAAATGTAATAAAGAAATGTTTGTAACATATTTATATTGGATCGTAATTAATCTCAGGTTTCTTTGATTTTTAATGTTAATCAAATTCTATAACAGAATGATAATATCAATTTTCTATATATTTAGAACAAATAGATTATGTCTAGCAATAGAATCAAGGATATACATTTTGTCATAAGTTGATCTTGTCATCTGGATGTATTAGGATTTTAGTGTTGATGTACAGATTACAATTGTAACACAGTATCTTACAATTCAGAGGTTAAAGCCTTATTTCATTAACTACTGAGTTCATGTCCACGTGTATACAGCCTCTACCAGGGAAGTCCTACTCACTGACTTCTCGTGGCGAGAGTGTTGTCTACGAAATTGATAGGACGAAAAGCGAATGTCTGGAGCTTTAATGCGATTCCAAAACAGTGGTGCACAAGGGCTCCAGGATTCTGAGGGATTAAATGGCGTATGAACCAATCGTTGGTCACCGGCTACCATGGGACTGCATCTCTCCACGATGCCCCATTGCCTTCTGCGTCAGACTTTTAGGTTCAAGGCTCGGGGTTTGGCCCCCTAAGAAAACCACCTGCTTCGGTTTGGGCACCCGGGCAGTATCCCAGCCCTCACACAAATCCAATGATTTACGTGGCGCATATGTATTTGGTACCTCCTATTATCAATGTTTATGTGATTAAACAAATAAATAAATAATAACTGAGTTCATGTAGTCTTTAACGTGTTGAATGATCATCAAGTTTATATCAAAACAACTGGATTTGAGATCTAATAAAAATATCAACATTGGGATACAAGTACTTTAGTGACCCTATATCTAACTTCAAGTAGGATTGTATGAATGATTGTTGTCAAAATATTCATCCCGGCTATCCTCGTGTATTTCATCAACTTAACCCATGTAAGTGTATAACGGAATTATATAAGCCAAATAGAAGAATGGATTATTGAATACATATATTTTGTACACTTACTGATCTGGACAGGAAATGAGACGGATGAAGTGAATAGAAGGGATCGAAACGAAACCAGCTTAATCTCTTATCCGAAGCATTTATCACCACTTTGGTGGCCAGAGATCTGATTCCAATTAGATCGTATGTCGATTGTTATCGAAAGACACATGTCAGCTATCCTCGTATAAAATTGTCGATTTTATCCGCTTCAATGTATAACGGAGTTAAATAAGTCAATACGAGAATAGATTTCGAGTAGGATAAGAAGTGTACATACACATACGCTCACATGAAAACAGTCAGAGTTGATAAATCAACAATTAACGAGGTCAAAACGTAACTGCAGAAGAATGTATAAATTGGCCTTTCGAGAAGCCAGAATAAGGAATATAGGCTTAACATAGCAACCGACACTACAGTGCATCCAGATGACTAGTTCCAAAAGGAGTTCAAGTATCAGCCACAATCCACCTATTTCAGATTATTTGGAAAGTAACGGCTACTTTTGAGGAAATCCTTACAAGATCCACATATCCAAGTAAAGACTGGTAAAAACGTGATCCAAGATATCACCAATGAGATAACTCAGACTCTCTATTACGTGCAATACGTTTATATGTTTGGTAGTTGGAGACAAACGAAATCAAACCCAAAATAACGTAATCGGTAAAATTTGATCAATACTTGGGAATGAATAAAAACAATATACATTAATGTTTGCAAAGATCTTAGTCTTATAAAAGTTCATTCAAAGTTCAAATAACCCAGTGATAGCGACTCAGTGGGAAACTAGGCTACATAATTTCATAGCTCTCGACACACATCAGTTCCTCCAAGATAACAAACCACAACAAAAAAAATTATATCTTTAAGGTTATCAGCTGTTTACTAATGACAACGTAAAATGTTTCAAAATGTATGAATGAAATTACATGCGTTGTTTCATCGTAGAATTTACAGAAGTCTTAATGATTAGCCTATATTTGTAGTTCACTCCACACACACACTTCATACACAATCGTGTGACATAGACTTTCTTTTATCTATAAACGCACATTTGAACAATTGAATGGATTTAAAAAGATAAATAAAACCATAAATATCCCTTTGAAAACAATTTTATTAACTGTGATTTCCTTTGTTAATTCTTTGAACAATAATTCAGAAAGCATTTCATTGAATTCATTAAACATAACAGGTACTAATTTCAATTTTCTTTCATTATATTTGAGTGAACTCAACAATTCAGTAATTTACGTTTATCAGAAAAGGGTTTTGTGGAGATTTTAGTAATTTAACAATTGAATTCATAAGTCGATTAAAGCTAGACAAGAATATAAAATCTCGAAGCACTGGACGGCTCTTTCGTCCTGGTATGGCACTCAGTAGTGTGCATCCGCGATCCCGTTCGACCGTCCAATTCTTCCAGGTTTTCCATGGTGGTCTAGCATTAATTGACTCATGAATTTCACCATTAAATTTACTTTTAATTTGGTAGAATTTGTAAAACAATTAATTTACAACACTTATTCAATGACATGTTTTTGTTGACTCCTCGAATAAAATTAGACGAAATTACTCAATTGAATATCTTTGATCATCTTTCCGTTTACTTAAAATTTAGGCATTGGCTTTGGAATTTGTATAATTGCAAGTTATACAGCATGGTATTACAATACAATTATTGCATGGGCATTGTTCTATATGATTGACGCTATGAAACCACATATACCATGGGATGGATGTAATAACTGGTGGAATACAAATTCTTGTGTTACCGTTTATGAAAGGTTGATCAATCATTCTATGCTGAATGCTTCACATAAATATGAACTAAATGAGTTGGTCAATTTATCAATAGCTAATCTAAAAATTAATGGAAGTGGCGAAGTGTTTTCTTCAACAGAAGAATATTTCTAGTAAGTTTATAGGTAATCTATTACAAGTAATATCTTCATTGTGAACAAAATTATGTATGTACTACGAATAAAGGTTAACTAAAGTTCTACAGGAAGTAATGTATCTTGATTATCCTATCATTTAAAATCATTTATTATCATCCTTATTATTTGACATCTAATTTAGTATCTAGGTATGTCATTTATTTGTCATCTATCAATATAAATACTTGAAATTATCTAAATATCAATCATTGAACTGTAGACAATTGAAGAATAACAAAGTTGAAAAGTGTGAAAATCATTACTCAAACTTTTCAGATGTGGTATTTAAACAAAAATTAATAATATAACAGTGAAATGACTTGGATACCCATTAAAATTATCTACAAAATTAGACACTTTAACATAGAGATTAGAAATCTATCCGAAAAAAACGAACTTCTTTCGTTTTGTCACTTCAAGCATGAAATGTTTATTCAAAAAAATGTCATCTCTGTCCATTTTATTTTATTCTGATTTAGAAATAAATTCATTATAATTTATTACATTTTACTCATTCTTTATTCACTTTCTCATAATATCCACAAAGGTGGATAACTATCTTTAGTTCAAAATTCAATTGTTAAGTCTAGTTCCACGTTACAACTCACTCCACTTAATTCTAACCAACTGCGTCGCTCATGTTTTACACTTAGTAAAATTTTCAGTCGTTTTTCAATTGATCCAGTAACTATGTAATTTGTTATGGAATTATCAACGCTAACTTATTATCAATGCAATTCTGTAGACAACATTGTAAAAAACTACTCTGAGTTGAATTATTTGTAATAGTAAACATTCAAGACTAAAACTGTCATATGTACAGCAAGCGAATTAACACACTTTATCAATTATGAAGACTGTTGAATTTTCTTCAAATTATGAGCTGGCAAATTTAAGACTACCATTGAAAACCTGGAAGCACTGGAAGAACGTTACGTCCTACTGTGAGACTCTTCTGCAGTGTACAATCACGACTTCAAAACCAAGATATTGTATTCCGCGTGTGAAAGTCTAGCCTCTAAACCACTGAGCTGAAATTCAACTATGTTAGTGTGTTACTTCAATAAGGACAATATATTGTCTTCGGTAGAAAACTACCTCACGCCCGATACAGTTGAAATTAACTAGTCACTGTTTCTCACTAGAACTCTGAGATAGTCACGCAATATTGTGGATTGAATCTAACATTGATCGCGTTCATGATTTCAATATAACCTACTTTGTACTGAACAACAACATAGCATTTATGATCCATTTAGAATAGCTATCAAAATTGTGGGTAATCTCTAACGAACATTGATTTTGAAAAATGTTGGCATGTTAGATCCCCAGAACTCCCTTGCTAAATGCCATATTTTTGTAATTCTATTTTAAAAATTTGAACTTCTTGTTTTCGCGCCAAAAACATTCATTTTTACCTTCATATAGTATTCCCCGCATAGGAAGGCATTAAATGCTATTAGTTCGTTGTCTCTTTTATTATGCTATTTTCTACAGTTTCCCAAGGACAAATTTATGCTGCATATATACGATTGCGTTGTGCTTATTGTTGTTATTCGTGCTTCTGGCTGTTAGTGGAATATGTTTCCCTCTTCTGAACTGTGAATTCTCTCTCTCTAGTTAGCGGGGTTGGAACGCATCGGAATAGCTTGCTTATTGATCATTTTATCATTGAGCCTTCGTTCCGTTCTCAGATAAGGTGAACTTATAATCTCTTCAAAAATAACAGAAACAGACCAGAATTATCTCTATATTTCCGCTAATTAAATTATTAGTTTTGTTTGCAATTACAGACACAAATTATGGATTATCGTAAAATGGGATTTTAGATAAATGAAATCAAGTTTTATATGTTAAAATAAGTCACCATTCTATATTATCTTAAAACAAAAACATATTCCAAGATTAGAAAAGCTTTATATCAAGCTGTTGTAATACAATTAATACAATGAAATCAACAAATGTTTATGACGATCGAATGTTTAAATCAGATATCTTCTAAGTTAAATTAAACTGAAAAATCATTTTAAAACTACGAATTTTCAGAATATTAAGCTTACCGTATTCAGAAGGGTTTCTGTGGAGATCGTAGTAATTTCAATAGTTGAGATCATGGTTAAGCGCTCGAGCGAGAGACCAGTAGGTCCTGGGTTCGCATCTCGCTAGGCGGGATCGTGAAATATACTCCAATCAGTTAATTAACATTTTTAGATGATAAACTATGTGAATAGTTTTATTGTTACGTAAAAATGAATGAAACTTTCGTAAATTATGCATGTACAATTTAATAAATTTAGCCATATAGTCAAAGTTTGAATCTAAAGTTCGAAGACGGTTAATTACTTCGATAATAATTGTATTTAGCTTCCAAATCAGGTGGGATTAGGTTTCGTATGAAAATGTAATTTTCTGTTTAAAATTTATACTACTCAACATTTTAATGAAGCTTTTATGTTTTAAAATGAAACAGAAAAATCAGCTTCAAGAATACATCCTAATTGTTTTCAAGGTATAATGGCTCCCATATTATGTTTTATCGTTTCAATAATTAACATAGTCAGCCGTATTGTCTTTCATCTCAGATTCATCAACTGTATTACGTTTATGGAAGATTGTTTTTTTTCTCTGAAATTACATATATCACCCAATTATTCTAGTTGACCATAATCATACAATCTACATTATAAATCAACCAACTAGTTCATTTATCATACTGGAAATATGTTGTTGAGCATCAGAAAAACAGCTATTCAACTAGTGAGTATAGCTCTTTAGAACAATATGTACTAGATAATACCCAAATTTGTTATCAGTAGCTATAATGAACATATCAGTGTAATTGCAGATATAAAAAGTATCAACAGTTGATTTTGATGGATTTAATCTAAGGCTAATAGTGACGTAAATAATGAAACGGAGAAAGAAATATTAGATTTAACAGACCTACAGTTAAATAAAAAGAAATAGAGATAAGAATAAAATAAACAAACAAAATATAGAAAATTGTTAAATAACATCTAAATTCTCTTGTACACAAGTGTAATACAAATGTTAGCTCATATATCACAGACAAAACAAACATTAAGATCTAACATTTTGTTTATATAACAACCTGTAACTTGCTTATCGATTGATTACCCATAAAATTATATCGAAATTATAAACAAACGTTTTGTCTATTTAATTTACATGTTTTATTTCAACTACAAAAGTCGTCGAGTTTTACAAATTCAATATGCGGAAGGATATAATAATGTTGGTCCAATACGTTGGGAGATTAGTCTCTGCCTAGTTGCAGTATTCACAATAGTTTATTTTTCGCTTTGGAAAGGAGTTAAAAGTAGTGGAAAAGTAAGTATGACTCAACGTTGTTCTTGTTTATTTAAAACTGTATCTGATTTTAATTTAACTTTGATAACTAAATTTACTCTCAGTATGGAGTTGTGGAGATTATAAAGTTTTTGACTGAGATCATAAACCGATTGATGTTAGACCACCACATATTAATTATCAGTATATGCTCATTAATGGCTAGCTTTGTGAAGGAATTCTTGGAGTTCTAGTGGGAAGCCGTGACCAGTGGAGCTAATCCGCTTCCGGTAGAGATCGGTATCTACCTCAGTACAATGGAAGATGGTCGTACAATGTCGCGGATTGCTTGAAGTTAGACATTGACACCATTGGATGCCAGCCGATCCAGTGGACTATAGGATAAGCCTTCGCACGCAAGACTGAAGACCCTGGGTTAGAATCCTGCGAGCGGGATCGTGGATACGCATTGCTGAGGAGTACCACAATAGCATGAAACGGCCGTCTAATGCTTCCAGGTTTTCAATGCTGGTCAAACATCAATCACTCCATGATCTTAATTAAACTTACTGTTTTGAAGAAACATACATCATTTGTTGTTTGAAGCAAAACTGTATTTACATAATTGTATATAGATCTAACTGAAAATGTTCAATCCCAGCATTATTTATTACTGAAACAGTCTCAACACTTTGTTGTTCAACTAAACTTTATTTTCATTTTTAATGAGTTTTTTTTCTATAGACTATGTGTTTTTAGCTTTACATTCATTCATAAAGTGTTGATAAGACCTAAAGATATCATAGGTCTTATTTTTTCAACTGTTTTTATTTTAATATGAAAGATACATATCAGAATTCAAATATAGTTTGGTTATTCCTGTAAGTCATTCGATTAGTTCATTTAATCATATTTAATATATTGTTTTATTCAGTAACTAAGGATCTTCTAAAATACTTAAAATATAAAGATATTTAGCCTAATACTTATAGAGTTATACATCGTAATCACTTGAAATGAAACTTGTTTTTTATATATTCTTTCATTTACACCTCAGTCATTAAAAATATTTATCAAATTGTTCCCTTTATTATCTTAAAGTGAGCAAGAACGAAGATTGGTGTAGAATAATATGGATTCATCTTATTTTGTTAGGTTCTCATCAGTTGCATACAACCTAAAATATTTGAAAGTCAACGTTATCACAGATATTCACAATATACATACAAGGGTGATTAAAGATGAATATGTGTACTATGATCTAACGACAATTTCAATAGAGTTAATAAAGTCATAAAACGTTTTTGATAGAACAGAAAGTAAAGTCTACGTACGATTCAAAGAACATATTACGAAACGTTTAAGGTCAAATGGATTAAAAGCATTCAGCAGTGCCATCGCAAGACAGGATATGAAGTCGATGCACTAAAGTCCTTTAAGGTAATTAACAAACAATCAAACTCCAACCTTTTGAAATTTACCAAAGCGATAACAATCAAACGTTTAAAACCAGATCTATGTATCCAATAAGAGGCAGTAATTAATCTTTCTTTGCCCTGGTAACATTAAACCCCTTTTTTGTATTTATTACGTCATTCATTATTTCAACTCCTTCTGAAGTCTAAATTACATCATTTCCATTTTTCTTCAATTCATAACTGACTGGTTTCAATTCTCTATACAATCATCTAATGTTTATTAACTCCATGGGTTCTAATCACTATTTCAATGTTCTAGAACTTTCCCTCTCAAACTTTATTTGTCCAAAACAAAATTTTTATGACCTTAATAACTTTATCGGAATCTTCGTTAGATCGTGATACACATATTCATATCTAATCACCCTCGTATGCAAAAGTATGTTAATATCAGTAATAACATTGATTTTAAAATATTACAGAATGTAAGCGGCTGATGAAGATCTAACGAAATAAAATGAATTCATATTATTCTACACCAATCTTCGTTCTTGTTCTCTTTATCAAATTGTATTATCCATTCTTAATATTTTCTCATCAATATTGATGACATTTATTATCGATAACTTATTTTTGTCAGTTATGTACATTTTATTTTATTTTCACAGGCTGTATGGGTAACTGCTACCATGCCTTACGTCATTTTAACTATCCTCTTGATTCGTGGTTTGACATTAGAAGGTTCGTTAACTGGTATTAAATACTATCTTACACCAAATTTTTCAAGTCTGTTAAGCACTTCTGTAAGTTAAAATATTTTCAATGTTTAATTTGTTAATTCTACTATATTCACAGTATATTCAAATAGATACTATACTCAACATTATATCCATACGATACTAAACATTTTTCGGAATGATTTTCTTATTAAAAAGGTCAACACTGTGGGAGCTGGTATTATGTCAAGCCCACATAGGTTATTCTAGACTCTGAAGAGATCAATCTATCCATTCTTCTCAAGCCATATTTTACCCTGTCACTTATTAATTTATCAACCTTGACATTTTTATGTAAGCGTTTGTGTGTGCGTTTCTTATTTTACTCATCATACGTCTATAACTTATTTTTGTTCGACTATAAATATTGAGTCACGCTTGGCTAAATGGAGTTGACTTACTCGCCTTCACTGCACGTCTCTTTGCTTCGCCGATCGTTTGTCTGGATCAACGACTGTATGAAATACACGTATAGGAAATTCATTCTTGTTATCCACTAACGCAATTTAAATCGATGATTATTTACAAGGATTAGCGACATGCATATTTTGATAATAATCATCCATACGATCGACCTAGAGTCAGATGCTAATCCCCTAAAACAGCATGAGAATACCACTTTCTGTTTTAAACCAAAAACAGCGCTGCATATAAGACTGATAAATACCATGCCAGTAATCTCAAATCATATGAAATTAACGTTTACGTAAACGGCTACATCTTTTTCATAAAATATTATTATTAAATTGTTGATTTGAAGTTAAGAAGTTTATTTTAGAGAACTATTCATGAAACGGTCTCCACTGCTGACCAAGTTACCAATGGATATAATGATTTAGCTTATCAAATTCCGTCAGTTGATTCATAATATTCTCCATGAAAAACAGATCCATTCAGTTAGTACTTATGTGTTATTATGTTCAAAATTTCCTCCACAGAACTTTATTTCCTGTTACGGATCATAGTGATCATCGTCAGATTATCAATAAAATTAAAAGTGACAACAGTAGTAACAGTAATAATAGTACCATTGTTTCATTCAAACAAATAATTCTCTTCATAACATAACAGACAACTAATTTTGAAATATGTATTCAGTAACTATATGTATTCCTCATAATCGCTATATAATCATCTGAGAGATCTGATTATGTTTTAAAATATAAAAAATGTATCATTCATGCATCAATAACATAATTTGTTATGTCGATAGACTTTTCAAAACAAATTCTCGTTTCTTTGTCTTTTTCTTTTAGGTTTGGAGTGATGCTGCATCTCAAATATTCTTTTCACTTGGACCAGGCTTTGGTGTTCTGTTGGCATTATCCAGTTATAATAAATTTCATAATAACTGTTACAGGTTAGTAAAATAGTTTTTCCAGCTATTTTTCAGTTATATAGTATTTTTGAAGAACAACGTGAATTCTTAAGGAATCAACGCTTAATATATTATAATTCCAAACTATAAAAAACCAATATGCTGTCTACAATAAATACTTGTTAAAAACTGGAAATAATGTCTCACATTCTAAAGTTAAGCCATTGAATTGTAAACTAATTAAACACAGTTGAATTCATAAGTCAATTAAAGCTAGACCATGATTGAAAACCTGAGAGCACTAGATGGCCATTTCTTCCTACTATAGGACTCATCAACACTGCAAATCCACGACCCCGCAGGCGGGATCTTTTAAAAGATTCAAATATTTGTCAAGTTCAACTACTTAATAAAATAGTTGTAAGAAATATAACTTATGGTTTCAATATATCTGATCATAATGAATGATTCTACACTAAAATACAAACCATTTATATCAATCTGTTGATAAAATTAGATTTTTCAGAATTAATGATAAAACTCATTACATTTAAGAGTATTTTTTCTATTTTATTTTTCATTATATATAAACAGAGATGCAATGATTACCAGTTTCATTAATTGTGCAACAAGTTTTGTGTCAGGATTTGTAGTCTTCTCTGTTTTGGGATATATGTGTTTCCGTATGGGAAAAACAATGGAAGATGTAGCAAATGAAGGTATGAGTGGTACTTTGTGAAATCATTTTCCAGTTTGTATTTTATAATCTTAAGTTTCTTACGTTGGTTAAGTTTTTATGTTGAGAAAGCTTTTTTCAAGACTGTGTTTTAGGTATTCAGTATCTATGATAGCTGATTATGGATTAAAATGAATATTTCTTTTTACATAGATACATTGTTATTAAGAAGTTTAGTCTACATAGCATTTTGCATACTTTCATCCTTTTCAATAACTGTTATTCAAAATGCATGACAAAATATCATAGTACTATCATAAATGTTTACTTGTGCCACAATTTATAAATGTGTTTGATGTTTCATCAGGGTTAAAATTGTTGTACTCAATAGCTTTTGCTTTTCCCTTACAAATTATTAAAATTATTTGGCTCATCGATATTAAAATTACGTATGTTGTTACATATTCGTTTATTCCTTCCGGTTTTTGTTACTAATTCTCTTAGTTAATCGATTTCATACTTATGTTTTCTAAAATGTATTACCCTCTTACTATTTTTAGTAGTTTGTCTTACTTTTGGAACATTTTAGAATAGAGTTGTATTCATTTTTGGAACAAACTGTAATGATAAGTGCTCATCAACAATTTAGATTGATCCATTTGTTTAGAAAAAAAACAGTAAAGTGTTACTGATCGGAAAAAAAAATTCTAAAATACTATTTCTCAAGATATCCTCGCTCATTTGTTTTTTATTTTATTATTATTTGAACACATATATATTGGTACAGGAGTGCGCCAAATATATATGCGCCACACAATTTCAGTTCATTAATTGCGTGTGGGCTGCGATACTGCCCGGGTGCCCAGACCGAAGCAGGTGGTTATCTTAGGGGGCCACTCCCCGAGCCCTTGACCTAAAGGTCTAACCCACAAGGCAGTGGAGCATCGTAAGGAGATGCAATCCCATGGTAGCCGGTGACCAACGATTGGTTCATACGCCATTTGTTCCCGCAGGATACTGGTGCCCACGTGCACCATAGATTTGGAACCCGGTTAAAGCGCCGGACATTCGCTTTTCGTCCTCTCAGTTTCGTAAACAACCCCCCCGCCACGAGAAGGCAGTGAGTAGGACTTCCCTGGCAGAGGCTGTATACGCGCGGCCGTGTGAGAGTATTTCGAGAGGGAGGGCGAACCCACCCCGCTCTCGGCCATACCAGGGCATTTGGGGGCTCATTTGTTTTAATTTCTTGCTGATATTAAATAAAGGTTGCCACTTGCATTCTCACTGAACGAGAACTATGAAATGGTTAAACAACTGAATGTATTATCTTGTGTTTCAACTATGATTATGCCTCATTTATAACTAAAACATTTTGAATGGTTTTCAAGCTGTACTATATTTACAGAAACTTAATTGAAAAACTGTCATTCGCCGTTATTCAACTGAGTAACAGTCTTTAGTTAACTCCCTTATTGATATCTGAGAACTTGTGACATGTTCTGAAAAGGGTTTTGCGAAATTTTAGCGTAACAAAGTTACTATGGTGATAATGAAATAATAACTCTAAAAATATGCTATAGGCTTAAGAGTTTGTTAAAAAAGTTTATTAAACATAAATTTCTGAACCGGTGAATTTCCTCATAGTGATATAATGATATTGTATTTTCTGCTATACCTAATGATCATATCAATTTTACTACTACATAGTAAATGTATTTATTCGCACATATATAATATTCTCACAGTTTGTATTAAAGAATACCTTAACGTTCAAGTATACAACATTTTAACAAATGAGATCTATATATATATAATCTAAAGATTTTCTGAACACTGCAAAATATTACTAACTAAAGTAACCTTGAAATTAGCGCTATTGCAATTTGACGTGAATTTAGTCAACTGAAACAAAACAGTTGATGATATTTGAAATATTTGTAGTCTTAGCCGATTAAACATTTAGAACATAGATACTCAGTCATTTGTAAAGTTTATTGAAGTAAAAAGGACTCAGTGATTGTTAGTCAATAGTATTCAGATCGTTTTGTTCTACTTAGACTGTGTAGCTTTGAAAGTGATGTACATTTATATACATATTTTATACATGGTCAATAAATACATTACGTCAACTAAGCGATAATTAATTTTTACAAAACAGTTAAGAAATTTAAATTTTGAGGGCTGAAGAGAACAATTTTTTGAAACTTTCAGTATAGATCGCCAGGATCTCTATGATGATAAAAGTTTCGGATAATTGTCAACTTATGTTTGAAATTACCTCCACTTTCTGATAATCAAACGAACATGCAAGTGATTAGTCTTGCGTTGAATTCGAAAATATCATCTGTGCACTCGATAAACGTAATCCATTTTATAGCTAAGAAAATTGTGTTAAATGATGAAATATATGAAAAGACAGACTACTAAGAACTATACAACAACATATTCTAAACGACGGAAGTGAATACAGGATAAGTACACTATAATGCATGGAAAAACTTTGAAAAGAAATAAATGTACGAACCTTGACATTTTTAACAATAAATTATCATTACTTTGGGTAGTACCTCATGTTATGAAACATTAGATACTAGGGATTACTTAGTGTATATGCTTAAATAATAAGTTAAGACATCTGAAAAATAACAACACATTTTTCATTCACAATCACTTGACTTAACTTCAGAAGATAATATTATAAAATTTTCTCTATTCAATAATAAATTCTTTTATTACTATCGTAACTCGAATACTTGAGTTGAAGATTAGTAATAGAAATTTTCGTTCTGTCTAAATTAATATGTTATTTTCGTAAAGATATTGTAAGCTGTAAAAAAGATTAGAAAAAACTTCTATGACACTTGACGTCTACAGGACAATCCGGGATTCATATATATAGAGAAATTCGAACACTTCACCTCTACTTGAAGTTCGTGCTGATGATGACATTAGAAAAAAACGATGAAAGCTCCACAACCAAATTATCCAGTTCAAAGAATAAAACTCCACCAAGAGAAAATTAATGCATAACTTCTAAAATCTGAACATCGGGCATCCCATCCAAACATTTTTCTTATCTGTTCATAACTAAACAATACATCGGGTTATCTATTTTGTATACATAAACTAACAAAAGACTAATTATAGATGTTTATTATTGTTAACGTCTGGAACACCGTACGATGTGGTTATTGATATTTTATAATCACTTATAAATGACGTAATACATATATATATATATATATATATATATATATATATATATATGCCTTAATAATCATTTGTTCATTGTTTATAGGACCTGGTTTAGTATTTATTGCTTATCCTGAAGCAATTGCAACATTAGCTGGTTCAACATTCTGGGCAATTATATTCATGTTAATGTTGATAACATTAGGTCTTGACAGTACAGTAAGTATATCTATTATTATTATTATTATTTTAACATTAACTTTAACCAGTAATGATTGATAAAAGAAAAAAAATTAGAGTTTATGGTAACAATCAAAATAGATTGGAAATTACATTTCTAGTATTGAAAATACATGTTCTATAGTATTAGTTAAAACCTGATATATCACTTCGTGATATTATTCAATCAAATAATAAGATGAAAAATCTTCATAAATGTTCAATTACTGAAAGTAACTTTTATTGGGAGGTCTCCTTTAAAGCTCATATTTATATCATCAAACATTTTCTATACATAAGTGAACACATTGTTTACCTCAGCATATGTAATATATAGAGGCCAAAATGGTTCGTTTATTACATCAACAAGAGGTCAAAGGGATTTTTTTTAAATATTGGTAATATGATAAAGTTTTAGAAAATTTAAAAAAAAAACATTTCATAGAATGCTGATAGGCTTATAAAGTCAAAACATCATCTTAAATCTCATCACAAAATGCTAAACTTGGGACTTTCACAAAAACCACATCATTGATAACAAGTTTGTTTTTTTAATATGAAAAGTGTATCTAAATCCAAATAGCTGAATTTATGAATTAATTTAAATTAGACCACTGTTGAAAACTTGGAAGCACTGGACTACTATTTCATCCTAGTATGGGACTCATCAACAGTGCACATCCATGATCCCTCACGCGGGATTCGAACCCAAGATCTCCAGTCCCATATGCGAACACTTAACCTCTGGATAACTGAACAGGCCGGCATTCATTGGTGTAAATGATTAACTTCAAACAATCCACGAAATTGAGCCATCGTCCACAATTTTTGTCAGTGAGTTACTATCTCACAAAAGACCCGATTAAACTTCACTGGTCACTACTTCTCACTAGAACTCCAGGAAATACCTCATGAAGCCACTCACCAGTGAGCAGATGATGATCATCATCAAAATGGGCGTTTGTGGAGATTGTATTAATATTAGTAGTTGAATTCATGGATTGATTTAAGATAATTCATGAATAAAAAGACAACAGTATCATTTTCGTTATTGTAGTTACACTAAACGTTCTTGAGTGGAATAGCTTTCTGTCATTCTATACTTCTTCATAACTTAACGTAAATGAACAAATGTGGGAACTTTTGTTTTTTCAACTAATAACTATACTTAAATTACTATTTAACTATAAAATTGAAAAATAATAACAAATTTTAACTACACCATAATTGATGTAAATGTTAGTTTCGGATAAACATAATTCGGGAAACCTTTTTATCAAAATAATGATCAGACTATAATTTATGGACGAATCAATCAGATCTAGTATGACAGGTCTGGGGTTTTGGCGCGAAATTTATTCACCCAATTGTTTAAATACCATCCCGGCATTTTAGCTGATGTCTATCATGATAAAAACTGTGAATCTAATTCCTGTCTCAACTTAAAATCATAATCCTTACTCTTCATACTACTTTATAACCATCATTTAGCCTCAGTAAGTAGGTGGACATTCCCATGGTTATTTTAGCGTCGCTCAAAGGTCGTTCATAAATTATAGTCTCATCAAAATAGTTACGAATGCAAAATATTATTCATTATTGTTTATATAAAAACCATTTTGTTTTTCAATGTATTAGACATTTATAAATTAAAACATTCATTATAGAAAATACAAACAAACGGAAACTATTTGATGAATTTGTCTCAAAAAAATATAAACCCATTTGTGAGTAGTAAACACAGTAGGGACATTGAAATAGTATATACATTTCAATAATATTATAGGTCATGATTTACCCCCCCCCCCGCCCTTCTTATTTTAGTAAGCTTAGTGATAAAATGAATGATTTATTTGTTTAGATAAGAAAGAAAGGAAAGTTCACTAATGACAAATTAGTCAAAGTGGATGGTGAAAATTGAGAAGCATCATCTTTAAGAAATATTATTTTTAACTTAAGTTTTCAATATCAGTTTAATATCTATGATAATTCGTTCTAGTAAATATATGTATTTTGTTTTCATATATTGTTTTTAGTTTGGTGGTCTTGAAGCAATTATAACAGCAGTTATGGATAGTGTTCCTGCTTTATCTGGTAGACGTGAGCTGTTTGTACTCGCTGTGGTTGTTTATTGTTTTATCGGAGCTTTAGCATCTACTACATGTGTAAGAATATTAACCTATAAAATTTTATAAATTTATATATAACAGATATTTATTATAAGTTTACGATCTGTAAGGGTTTTTTTGTCCAAGTATCTTATGTACTCAGATGTTTAAGTTTGGCGCAATATATTTCTCAATAGTATTTGTCTACAATAAGTCTTATAAATGTAAGTTTATATGGAACAGTTGTTAAAAACCCTTCAATCATAGTTTTGTTTTAACTTAGAAATATCAATGTGGTTACATTAAAGTATATAGATCCTTCTGTTTGACATCAAGTTAAATTTTACACTCATCATCTGATTAATTAATGAAATATGCATCTCAGTAAAATCTGAGAACCATACAGCAAATATTTAATTTCCAAAATGTCAACCAGTTGTCTCAAACTTCACTATTCCTTTGGCAAATGTCAATCAATCGTCTCAGACTTTATTGTTCTTTCGTCTCCACACCAATCATTCACTGTTCTCGTTCACTTTTCCTTAATCTCCTTAACCTTCTGCCGCCAGACATTTTAATTTCTATTGATGATACGTATTACTTATATCTGTCGACATCAATAGCACACACCACAATATATTTAACTGAAACGCTGTAACATGCATAAGGTTCTGGTTGAATTATCGTAAAAAGAAATTTCTCTCATGGATATATGGATGATTTTAGGTAAACGATTATAAACACCGGTTGGAGTAAAGTAATTCCGTAATAATTAGTAATATAATTCATCTTAATAAAACATGTTTTTGAATAATCCTGAGAGCAGTTTTGGTATATATATATATATGAATGTTTAATATCAACATTTATCTGAATTAAAGAGCTTAATTTTCGCTGTCATCAAGTCATATGTTCGGGTTGAAGCACGTATTGTGTTTTGAAGGTACTAAAATTCGGATCTCAATGTTACACTGATTTTCAGCTTTTGAAGAGTATTTACTATGTACTGATGTTTTGTTTAATAGCTGAACGTTATTTGTTACATTACGTTTTGTGCATGATTCAATTGAAAGAGTGCTTTATCGAACTCGATTTGTATTAAACAATACCGAATTTCGTGGATTGGTTGGATGCCGGCCAGTTTAGTGGTCTAGTGGTTAAGCACCCGCGCGCGAGACGGATAGGTCCTGTGTTCGAATCTCGTGGGGGACCAAATAGTGAATGCACATTGCTGAGGAGTTCCACAATAGGACGAAACGACCGTCCAGTGCTTCCAGGTTTTCCATGGTTGTCTTGTTTCAATTGACTCATGATTTCAACTACTGAAAATACGGAATTTATCAAACTTCAGATTCAAACTTCTTTGTACATAATTATTCCTGATGTCTTAATAAGTTGCGGAAAACGGAACTATTTTACGATTTTACTTAGTATTTTAAAACATGCTTATGATTCATTTCAGATTTATGATTGTATATAATCATTTATAACAAATATATTCACTTTTGAATGCAGGGTGGATATCTTGTTCTAACTATGCTTGATCGTCATGGTGCACCAATCTCAATTTTGTTCATTGTATTTTGTGAATGTGTAGCATTGTGTTGGTTCTACGGTAAGTGTTCATAACAACAACATACATAAAGATATTTAAAATAAATGTCTGTAAACATGTTCGTTTTAATTGAATCTCCTAAAAATAGGCCAATAAAAATTTAACACCATTGAAAAGCCAAAAAAAAACTAATTTAATTTATCTACTTATTGTTTTTCGTATGTTTAAAAAACAATTTTAATTCAGTAGTTGAGATAGTTACTTCATTGGTTGACAATTCATCAATAGTTATATTGTAGTGAACGTGAACATAAGTGGATACAATCGAACGTATGTGAACAAAAAAATAGCAAATTATCTTAGTAAAATCTAAGAACCATACAGTAAATACTTAACTCGCAAAATGTTAGTCATTTGTCTCAGACTTCACAATTCCTTCATTTCTACAACAATCATTCATTGTTCTCATTCTCATTTCACTTTTGATTGATGATACATTCTACTTATGTCTATCAACATAAGTAGCACACATTACAATGTTATGTTAAAATATAGATTATCAATACAAAGCAATGAATTTCAGCAACTATTAAGTATTCTATATTTACGTTAAAAAAGCATTTCTATTTCATATCATTAAGAAAACATTTATAATTTTTCACATCAGCATGTAAATCGAATAAATTTGAATGAAATCCGTTTTAAAGTAAACTTCTGATGTGAAATTAATGAATCATAACCAGTTGGATTCGCCTTGGATAGTCTGGTTTATAAGCTATTCTCAAGTTAGAGGTCTTAATTCCTGAACTTAATTTTCTGTATTACCTAGTTTTTAATAACGTTATCTGACAACATCGCTACCAGTTATATATCTATATGGTAAAACTTACGAATAAACGGTTTCATAGAAAGAATCCACTAGTCAGAATGAAACTTTTTCATCTATAAAACAGTTGTCCTCTTGAACACAACTCATTAGCATATATATTTTAAGGTTACACACCTAGTTGGTAACTAACACATATGGTTTCGTGTTTCGCATAATGTCCTGTGATCGATAAATTACTTCAATTGAAGTTGTCTGATTCATTTTACTTCTATTTACGCGTTGATATAGAACAAATTTTACACAATTCATTGTAAACAACTGTGTATTTTGAAGCATGTTACCATGCAGTTCTACTTTTTGCTCAGGTACCAAACGATTTTGTCAAGACGTACAAATGATGCTTGGATTTAAACCTGGTATATTTTGGCAAATCTGCTGGGCTTATATAAGTCCAATTTTCTTGCTGGCAAGTCCAAATAGATTTCATTTATATTTCTTATTCAAAAAATACAGTAACACTGGTTGAAAAAGACTTTAAATTTCCTACTATTCACACTTATTTTCACACATTCTTAGTTCCTTTTAGTACAAAATTCAAATTAATTTGATCATAACTTCTTACAGAATGAATGAAAGAGAATGAAACAAGTTTTTCTATAATGAGTCTGTAATGAAAAAGCTTAGGTTTATTTGTATTTCAATTTGATGTTAACTTGAAAGCGTTATAATAAAGTTGACTGATAACTACTTTTCCTTTTATACCTTAAATTCATAGTGTAAGTGTTTTATTATTTTCTGTGCACAGAAAATCATCCGTTCTTGTACTTATTGATACAGATGGTTACTGGGCTAACATGGTTGACGTTCATTTTGAATTTTTCCAAAATATATTGAAATTTATCGATTGCGTTTCAATAAAATTAACCCTGAATATTCCATTGATTATACACTTTGGAATAACATTCATAATTTAAAATCATCCAATTCAAAGAACTTAACATAACTATGGTGGTTTACCTTGATTGCTAGCTGAACACATCTACTCAGTCAGTCAGTCAGCTACAACGTAGGACCAGGCACATATATGCATCGGTCCAAGTTGCCATACCTCATTAACACAACAAGATGAACATAGGATTCATAAAAGTAGTTCATTCAGTGGTGGTAATATACAAAAGAAAGATTGTATATAAGGACATAATACAGGAAGAAAGAATTATTTCGTAGAAAGAAAGATATGAAGCGATTTTAAGCTCTAAGTTTAAAGGAAGACGGATAGTGTATACACCAACACCATTGTGATCGATTCTGAGCCATGTCACCCAGAGTCTCCAACCATTGGTTACGATAGTCACGCGGACCCCAACCAAATAGTCTGCATCTACCAACATGACTCAGAGAACACGTCTACTGATTATTCATAAAGAATTTTTCAGGTCTCAAAGTGATGTGCCTCAAAAGATATTACTTATCTAATGACCTTTATATTTGAATAATTCTTGTTTGTTTACTTCACTCAGAAGATTTATCTTTGATTGAAATTTAAATTATTTTGTGATATAATCAGCTAATAGATGAATATGATATTAGTTTGAATATGAATTTGAAGTTAAGAATATAACTACATTAATAAACTTTGAAATATATGGGTCAAATTCAATAGCTCAATTTTGAATTTCCAGTTTACATTCATAGGTGAACGTTGAAAACCTTATAATATAGTTTACTGTTTTACATTGAATGTAACAACTCATTTTCCATGGTATAATTTAACTAGAACAATTTATATTATATATATAAACATTATATAATAAAACTTCATGTTGTTAAATGAAGAGATAGTAAACTATTCTTATTTGAATTTTATTTAAATATATCCTTATCCTTTGAGTATTTAACTAAAGCCATTAAAAGTGCCAACTAGTTTAAAAGTAGGAACAGAAGGATCACAAATTTCTTTGAACTTTTGCTCATTGTATCATACAAATCCTATTGACAACCACCTTATCAGTTCATGTTTTGATAAAAAATGGGATATATATATATATAACCATAGTGTAAAATAGCCTGATGTTTACAGAAATTTGCATATAAATGAAATATTAATCGTTAATCATTTATCGTTATTTTGCATAACACCACCCCTCCCTCCCTCTCCACGAACACACACACGCACACATACAACTCAGATTTTTCTTTATATATTTCTTTTTCTCGAACTACTTGTTCATTCACTATCGCTTACATTAATTTTTTTTTCTCCGTCATCTCTATTTTCCTTGTTGTTTTCTTTTGTTTCACTAATGACTTTATATTGTTTTCTTCTTTTACAAGTTAAAAAATCAAACATCTTAGATGACTGTTTTTTTTTCTCTGTCATCCATTAGTGTTTTTTTTGCGCTGAAAAATAAAACAACACAGATTAAAAGATACCATTTCTTGGTGTATTTTTTCCGTTATCCTTTTCTTATTTTAGACTATTCCAACAAAAGTAACTGACATAAATCATAGAGACAAAAATCGCATCAACATTTCAACATTCTTTAGTCCTTATCACCATACTTCAAGCTTAGACATTATTTGATGATTTTATAATGCAAAGAATGAAGGGGAGAGAGAGAGAAGGAGCGAGAGCGAGAGCGAGAAAGATAAATTACCCCCTGTGAAGAAAAAATTATGCAACTAAGCGAAATAATCACTTGTTTTCGTTGTTTCTATATGAACATTATCATTACTATTATTATTATTATTGTAAATAAATCAGAAAAAAAAGATTTTTTTGTTGATTACATCATTTAAAATATCTTATGAAATTAACAATATTTTTAATTAATGACCATAATCGATTCAGTTTAGTCAACAATTAAAAATTTGAATAGTAAACCTAGTCCAACACTTAACATTTAAACAAACTCTATTTATAAATAAATAATATATTTGTAATATCCCAACGAGTAGAAAATCAGGTTTTCTGACGTTTCGTCACTTAGTGTAGATCACATCTTCAGAGAATATTCTCTGAAGTCAGAAAATCTAATTTTCTACTCGTTAGGATATTACAACTATATTATTTATATATAAGAATCTGCCCAATGTTTAATTGATTCGAAATAATCAAATCAAACCTTGGTAACGATAGCTACAAACTCTATTTATAGTATAATGAATAATTCGGTATTCAATATACACACTTACTGATATTTGAAATGTAAACATTATAATATAGATATCAATGATGAAATATTGGTTATCAGTATTTATACAATATTTCTTTATTTTATTCAGAGAGGGGTTTTTTGTGAATATTATAGTCATTTAATAGTTTAATCCATGAGTTCATTGAAGCTAGATGATTATGGAAAACTTGTAAGGAGGAGTTCCATACTAGGATGAAACGGTCATCTAGTGCTTCAACAGACTTAAGAATTCAACTATTAAATTGCTCCATTTGATTAGCATTTAAACATGCATACTTTAAACAAGTATGTGGTTTGTAATGATATGTGAAGATAATATTTGTGGAACTAATTTTTACCTGCTCCATACAATTTCATAATGAAAGTTTTCTGATTTGTTACTGATCTCATGCAGAAGTAAGATATTTATTGTTGAATAATGTAGAAGTACGAATATTAACTTCATTTATGGTTCATGTACAGTTAATTAAACAGTAGAATTATTCTATGAATAATATCTAAACGACTATTACTCAATACTTATTAGAAATCCTAGACTGTTAGATCTTTAAAATCCAAGAATATTGTTGCCCCATTAATGTAAACTTTAAAAGCTTTTTTTTATTATATTCACTAGTATCTAAGCAAAAAAGAATATTAGATGACATTGTCATTTTTGTATGAAATGACTTATAAAGATGGAGATTTGTGGCTCAGGTGGATAATTTTGGTGGAGTTTTGTTCTCTGAGCTGGATGGTTTGGTCGTGGAGCTTTCATCGTTGTCCTGAACGACATCATCAGCACATCATCAGCACCAGAACTAATGTTAATCAAATAAGTTTTACAAGATCCTATGACCTAAGAAAGTGTAATTGTAAAGCTAAGCTAACTGACAGTGTTCAAACTTACAAACTGAAGAATATTATGAAGCGGATAAATTAAAGGATCAAGTTGCTTTACGGGAAGGCAAAAATATTTGCTTAATTGATTTCAAATTTAACTAGCTGCATCTTTGAATAAATTTACAGTTGATTAGTTGTTACTGAGCATATTTTTTCATCTTAAGATGGATAATAATTATATTTAAGCAGGCAGTTTACTCAATAGTCTTATATACAGTTTACAGTAGTGAACATTTATGTATCCTTAAGTTAGTTTTGACTAATATAACAGAATCATTTATATTTTTTTGTTTATCATGAACAACTACTGATCGAAAACAACTTAATGTTTGCATAATTTGAGTCATGAAACTTTATCGTATTTCTTATTCGATTTCCTCATCCCTATTTATACATACTGAGAATTAATCTAGGCCTGTTAAAGGATTGTACTTTTTATGAAGGAAATACAGTTTCTTTTACAATGATGCTAACGACTGTTACCTTCATGGAGGAGCATAGGCCACTCACTAGCACTTTCTATACAACTCTGTTCTGGGCAATCCTTTACATTTCTTTCCAGTTTATATTCATCCTTTTCATGTCTGCTGGCAGTAATCAACACTGTGCGCTTTGGACTTCTTTTTTTTCGTTTTCCTTCAGGATTTCAAGGTAACACTTGTCTTGTGATGTAGTTTGACGGTTTCCTCAATGTGTGTCTAATCCACTTCCAATGTCTTTTCCTAACTTCCTCTTCATTTGGAAGCTAGTTTGTTCTCTCCTGTGGTAGGCTGTTGCTGATGGTACTCGACTAACGGACATTGAGTATCTTGCGTAGACAACTGTTTATAAATACTTGTACCGTTTTGATGATGGTTGTAGTAGTTCTCCAAGTTTCAGCTCCATACAGTAGACTTTGATATTGGTTGACAGTTATTTTGACTTCTAGATGTTCAAATGTAGCAGTGTCGTACTTTGCCAATCCTTGCCTTTATATCTGCAACAGATCCTTGTAGTTTATCGATGATGCTGTTCAAGTACCTGAAAGATTCCACATCTTCTAGAGCTTCTCCATCAAGTGTGATTGGATTGATGATCTCTGTGTTGTATCTGAAGATCATGTTTTTTCCCTTGTTTTTACACAATATGAATCACTAACTAATTGATTTTTTCATATATTTACGTCTATTCTCTTTCCTATCAAGGGTATTTTTATAGCAAATATAGTTTCTTATGAAACACAACCTGTTTCTGTTTTGGGTGTTGTCTATGAACCTACAACCTGGGTTATTGCATTGTCATGGGCTATAGTGTTCTCATCTCCAATATTCATTCCAATCCTAATGATATATCAATTATTAAAGGCTAAAGGAACTTTTCTTGAAGTAAGTAACACATTTTGAATTTTGAAGCATTGTTCGCAATTTAATTAAATCTAAATATTTTTTTATCTCATAGGGAAATAAATGAATATAGTTAAATGGATAGTTGACTTCAATTTTTTTACTATTGACCACATATCTCTTACTAATTTTTTTCTTAGACTGACGTCAACATTACTAGTTAGATGTGACATTGCCAGTATTTTTGTTGAGAAGTCCTTGTTTAAGTTAACCCGTTAAGTCTAGATAATATGATAAGAATATATTCTTATAAATTTCTTAAAGCCTTGACCTAAAATAATCGGAAGTCAGTAATAGAATAAGGATATTGTTGAGTTTCACTAAAATAAAGGGCCAATTAAAGTTAGACAACCACTGGAAAGCCCTTTCGTCCCTGTATAGAACCCCTCCGCAGTGTATATATGCGACTCCACAACCGGAAATTGAACCCAGAATCTTCGGTCTCACGCGCGAGTGTCTAGACTTTGAACCACTAAACCGAAATACCAAGCTGTACAAACCTAAGTTAAGTTAGTCCATGATAGAGCGCGACTATCTTCAACTGTCTTTGGTGGGTACCTTCCTCACAATTGATACAGTTGAACTCGACTGGTTATAGCTTTTCATTAGAAATCCGGAAATTTCCTCTCGAAGCTAGCCACTAGTAATTACATGGAAACTGTCAGTATGGGATTGTGAAGACTATCGAGTTTCACTGGAATGATGAACTCATCAAAGCTGCGAACTACTGAGGACAAACAGCAGTCCAATGCTTTAAGATCTTCAGTGGTTGTTTAACTATTATCGATTCCTGATTTTAACGTCAATCAAAAATGATTTGTCTTCGGTTAATTCTTCTGTCAATGAACGTCCATATATTTACCATGATAGCAGTACATGCAATATATTTATATATTAACCGTTCATCAAATTCAATCTTCTAACCAGCTCGTCACTGTGAAGCATAAAAACAGAAGCCTCAATATTGTGTTAAGTTTTCGATTTGCATTGTTGGTAAATTTCAAAGCACCTACTCGACAATGACTTTCGATAGTTCCTCAAATGATATCAGTTTATGATGAGTATATAAATTAAAATAGTTTCCACAAACAACTGAATCGGCACTCAGTTTTTTAACACAGTTCAATGTCTTTTTACTATGGCTATGAATTTTCATGGAAATCGTGTTGATTCAACATATTTAATGTTTATCAGTATAAACATCTCATCACAATGATTTTTGTTACAGTAAGTTATAGACCATGAAGCATCTTTCTACAAATCATGTTTGACAGGTTTCGACAACATTTTCGCAAACTCTACTACTCAAACATTCTAACAGGGAAGCATTCAAGTTAAACTACAGATATAACATGGCTTTGTAAATATCTTAGTCGATCGACTGTACCGACTGTGACGTTAGCACAATAGTAGTAATTTTTTGATACTAAAAATCAAAACCCTTAGTCTTTTAATCGAAATGTATTTCTATAACCTTTTACCCACACAATTAATTTCCTATTATTTATAGAGATTACGTTTTCTTACAACACCTGAAGACCGACCAGCATACGGGGATCAACGAATTACACTAAATGCTATTGGTGAATATGTACCAAAGAAAACGTCCAAAACAAATAAATTATGCGGAAATCCTCAATGATATCACGTGCAATATTGATGCAACTATAATATTCACCTCAATCTTCTAACTGCTAATTTACTATAATATAAATATACATTTTTTACTTTCAAGATTTATTATGTCAAACATGTTCAGAAAGAACATATATATATATATATATACATATGTATTTGTCTTAAATATACCAACTCTCTCCTTTTTTTCGCTTGGACCAATACCAAGTATACACTTATAGTAAAAACTTCTACAATTACTCATATAATTACAAAATATTATCCTTATTCTAGATATTCATACCCTATACTTTGAATTTCAGATAATATGAAACTGTCCATAACTAAGAATTTGACAGGTCAACGAAAACTAAATCTTTATTTTATCATTAGCTACCTTAAAGATCTGTTGTGTTTTTTTTATTATCTCAACGATAGCAGCATATTTGACTATCATGTGTCAGTTCATTTATCATTTCATATTTTTAAAATTGTAACCCTTATACCTTCCATATTCTTCTCAAGAAATATCATGGACAAGAGACTACCGAATACTAGGATTATTCTCGATGACAATGAAGATTAACATCTATGAATGAGAAGATGGTTAAAAATTCATATTAACCGTTTGATGTCATACAAGTTACTCTTATTTAAGTGTCTATATATTCTTTGAAAAATAAGTTTTAACTACGAATTTCACAATCTTTAAGTTATACTCCACTATACATTGCAATTTACATGGTACATATTTATAAAAGTATATTGTTAACTAATTATTCTGAATAAATTTATACCAAAAAATAACTAGATAATTTTCAAGACCTTTATGTTTCATAAAATTTCATACTACTTATTTTTGTTTAAGTAGCTAAATGACAATAGCGTCAATGTTTGTTGCCCTATTTACGTGTTTATTGGATTTACTTAAGTTGTAGAATTATGGTCTACTATGATATTAGTACTGCGCTAATAATAGCCCTAGTTCTAAAATTTTAGACTTGTCATAATATAACTGCCTAATCTATAAGATCTTACGTAGAAGTCATACCATCGTCTACACCAACTCATCGTATCGTAACAATCACCAATACATGATGTATAACAAGCTTAGGCTGGAGATAGAACAATATATTTAATATGAATAAAAGATATAAGGTGACATTCAGTAGGGACCACGCCTGCAAGGCCGAGCCATGGCATTCAATCAACTCCAATTCACTCAATGCATTCTTCCCACCTTCTCCATCGTTAGGTATTTCTCCGCGTTAAATATTGAATATCTATTTTCCGAGTTGTCTCGTGTTCAGCTTTGAGGACTGTGTGGTTATGGTCCAATGCCATTACAAAGTTAGACCACGGCGAGCTAACAAAATATACGTGATTTTTATCGATTTAAACTTTGATACATTCATTATCAGATAGAAATTCCCATCATATTTCAAGTAAAACCGTCATGAAAACATGTTGATTTCCCTGGTCAACTAGAATGTGTAATCCTAGAGTCTAATCGATAACACAGTTTCAATTATATTATAATTAATTTGTAAATATTTTGATTAATTACTTTATTTACTCCGTAGTACTAATTGATTTATAGCGACAAATTTGATCATTTTACTGCTTAACTGTTGATATCTTGTAGTAGATTATTTTATTCAATCCCCTAATTATTTCGAAGCATTCTGCTCAGAATAAAAGTTGTTAAAATTTCCAGATAAGCTTAACGCCAAACTCCCTAATTTTTGCGTTATCACCAGTTCCCTTTATTTCGGTTGTTACAAAGAACTGTTAAATCCAGCCACTATAAAATACAACGGCCTCTTTAACCTTGATAGAGTATTTTTAATGCCACGTATCGAATTCCTCACATGAGCGTTATGAAACAACACGTGTTCAGTTCTTCTAATACTACTTCACTCACAATCTACAAAATGTTCGACAATCTCTAATGGTTAACAATTTTTGATTCATTAACATTGAGATTTTTCAGAAGCAAACATAATCAGAATGATCAATTCATTCCTAAGAGAATGTTTGGTTATTTTTCAATGGAAAAATAATCGGTATTCGAAGTTTTGGTCAGTAGTTGAACTGCAATGAGTATTTCCATAACTACATCTGATTAACAAGCATCAAATATCTAATTATTAAAAATTAACAACTCTAGAGAAAATATATACTTGACTAGTTAATTAAGTAATATATTATACTGTATAGCAAACTCTTTAAGAATGTAGGATTTTCATAAACAGCCTAGTTTTTGTTTCACAATATGTTTAAAACGCTTAGAGGAAATTGTATACCATCATAGGACTAATTTTATTTAAACATTTTAAAGAATCCTAGATCTCACTAAGCTAGATTCCTTTACTATATTGATTTGTTCTGCAAAACGTTATCAATATATTCATGTATTATCTTAAGAACAAATATATCTATCATAGATTTGATTACAAACATAGATTTTTATAACCATTTACTATGAGTTATGATTGATGCAGTCAAAAGTTGACTCAAATTGTTAAACACAAATTTTACGGGTAATTCATCATAAACTTTTTTAAAAGCAAAAATACAGTTTTAACTGGCTCATGAATTCAACTAAAATATCCACAAAACCCCCTTCTGATAATAATCATCATGTGCTCACTAGTGACTGACTTCAAGAGGTATTTCTTGGAGTACTAGTGAGAAACCGTGACCAGTGAAGTTCAATTAGGTCTGTTGTGACATAGTAACTCATTGAAGACAATGGTGGATGATGACGCAGTATTGTGGATTGGTTGAAGTTAAACGATGACACCATTCGATGTCAACTCAATGGTCTAGAGGTTAAGCGTCCGTTCATGAGAGACTGATAGGTTCTGTGTTCGACTCTGGCAAATATCGTGGATGCTCACTGCTAAAGTGTTCCATACTAAGACAAAACGACTGTCCAGTGCTTACAGGTTTTCCATGGTGGTCTCCTTTTAATTAACTCATGAATTCAACTATTAAAATGACCAAAAACCTCTACAAAATTCCTTTCTGCAAATGAATAAGACTTTAATTTTTGTTGTTGTTGTCGTAAGACATTTTCTTTTGTTCCCTTATTTCTTCATTTCCCTAATATTCAAAAACCGTACGCTATACATATAAATTAGTAAGCATATTGTAAAAATAAAATAAGTAATTAAATGATTGTAGAAAAAAGAAGAAAAAAGTGTTTCTTATATAACAGAAATAATAAGCAGAAATAAAAGAAAATAAAAAGAGAGAAAAGAAACTAGAGGAGATATAGATAGATATATATTCGAAATAAGGAAAAATGTAAATAACTAATAATTTCTTCGTTTACATTTAATTCCATAACTGATAACACGTCCATCATCATTGATTTGTGGAATACGTTTATCTCGTATAAAATAAATTGGACAATGATATTGTTTTGGACAAATGCATGGTACTCGACCACCATAAATATAACCATCTGTACTTGGTGTTTCAATATAACAAAAATCATCCACTTTACATTGAGGCTAGAAAAAAAGTACAATAAAAGCAGTTGATAAATATCTAAGAAGAAATAAAATTTAATATTATGTTTCTATTAAAAGAATACGCAAATGACATAATCCTGTTTGGTGAAGACCCAGAGTCTTTTGGTAGTACTGAGCAACAATGCCAGAATGTTTGGAATGCTCTTCTCTCCCTCGAAATGCAAGTTGTTGCTTCAGAACTGGTCTGCGTCAACACCTGAACTAAGGATAGGGAGTGAAGTAGTCGAACGCGTCGACAACCTCACTTATCTTGGAAGTCTGATCAGCCCTAATGGGTTGGTGTCTGACGAAATCTCAGCACGGATTCGAAAAGCTCGTTTGGCTTTTACCAACTTACGTCACCTATGGCGAAGGCGAGATATCCGTCTATCAATTAAAGGACGAGTATACTGCGCAGCAGTCTGTTCTGTTTTACTTTACGGCAGCGAAACATGGCCTTTAAGAGTATAAGACACCCGTAAGCTACTAGTATTTGACCACAGATGCCTTAGAAATATTGCTGGCGTCTGCTGGGATCACCGAGTAAGTAATAGTGAGGTTAGACGCAGGGTATTAGGGAATGATGGTAAATCAGTTGATGAAGTTGTGAATCTTCATCGACTGAGATGGTTGGGCCACGTGTTGCGTATGCCTGAACACCAATTACCATGACGTGCAATGCTTACCGGTGTTCGGGATGGTTGGAAGAAAGTTAGGGATGGCCAAACCAAAACGTGGCATCAGTGCTTGAAGCCACTAACTTCTAGTCTGAGCCATGTTGGTAGATGCAGACTACTTGGTTGGGGTTCGCGTGACTGTCGTAACCAATGGTTGGAGGCTCTGGGTTACATGACTCAGAATCGGTCACAATGGCTTCGGTGTATACACTCTCTGTCTTCCCTTAAACTAAGAGACTAAAATCGCTTCATATCTTTCTTTCTTCGTAGTAAATCTTTCTTTCTGTACTATATCCTTATATGCAATCTTTCCTTTATATATTACCACCTCTGAAATAACTACTTTTCTGGATCCAATGTTCGTCTTGTTGTGTTAATGAGGTATGGCAACTTGGACCGATACACATATGTGCCTGGTCCTACGTTGTAGCTGACTGATTGACTGATGAAATGAACTAAAAGTATCAACTTGACACTTGGTAAAGGTCAATAAAAGTCATAAACTGATGAAATGTAGATTACGAGAGTTCAAACTTCATGAAGAATATCAATTCCCATAAAACTTTAGATGAACCATCTAGCAAAGTATTTACTAGTAAAATAAAACTATTGTTCATAACGTTCTTCTAATTGTGCCGAACCAACCAGTAGTGAAAAGTGGTACAGGAGCTGTTGAGTTATCTTTTCTACCAAAATAACAAAGGACTAAATATACAGAATAATACAATTAGATAACATTAGAAACGTTTAAATATAGTTTCGCAACCCAAAAAGATTCCGTAAAATTTAGATTATATGGTAATATGAACCCTGTTAGATGATTAGAACTATTCTGTAGTCGATTATATTATTCAATACCTCAAATAAAACTTACATCTTGAACTAAACAAATTATACCTATTGATTATCTTTAAATCCCAGCATCATAGTGTTGTAGTGTTAGAAACAGTAAAAAAGATTTCTCAATATGTTTGATCATTTTGTCGGAGCAAGAAACTTTAGACAACCATTAACAGTTTTTATGTTGAACATTTCTATATTACAGTATATCAGATTGCTTGAGAATTTTGGTAAAAAGAAACTATTCACAGTGTTTCGATTCCAAGAACATCCTAATCCCTTGTTCTTGCAAGTTGTCTATAGAATATGGTTCATCGATAAGAAAGAGTAATGTCTAAAACTAAACATGAATTATCCTATCTCTTTGGAATACACTTCTAAGGGCTTTACAAAACTCAGGAATAAACTTCAAACAAAAATGATATAAGTGATTTACAAGAGAAAAGTTTTATACTAAGATTTTGACAATGAGGAAGTCTACATAATCAGAACACATACGCCAAGTAAAATTGACTGTGAATTTTGAAATCAATAATTGATTGATCCTAAATACAATACTTTAAAACTAATTTGTCAAGAATCAACGTACTAGAACTGTTTAAAACTATATTTTTTAAGTTTGTTTATATATTTCCCTGGATAATATTTCAGTCATTCTCTGTCATAATCAAAACTGTACCACTCGTGAGTCATTGACTGAATTCACCAGTTACATAACACCATTGAAAACTGTTAAAACCATCCTG